GCAGGAGGCCAGCGAAGCGTACCTGGTGGGCTTGTTCGAAGACACCAACCTGTGTGCCATCCACGCCAAGAGAGTCACCATCATGCCCAAAGACATCCAGTTGGCTCGCCGGATACGGGGGGAGCGAGCTTAAGCGGAGGGCCGTTTTTATGGTGTTTTGTAGTAAATCCTGTAAAATACTTTGGTTTAATTTGTGACTTTTTTGGTAAGAAATTGTTTATAATATGTTGCATTTGTACTTAAATCATTCCATCTCTCACTCAGGATGAATGCGGAAAGTGACTGCCCACGGCGCTCGGTGCTGTGGGCATTGTCGCTCGGGAGTGCGACCTTGCTGATCAGCAGAAGGGATGGGTGACGACTTCCTGCTTCTCATGATGCATGTTTCTGTATGTTAATGACTTGTTGGGTAGCTATTGAGGTACTAGAATCGATAATGTGTACAGGGTCCTTTTGCAATAAAACTGGTTATGACTTGATCCAAGTGTTTTAACAATTGGGGCTGTTAAGTCTGACCATACATCACTGTGATAGAATGTGGGCTTTTTCAAGGGAGAAGAGATAACAAGTCTTAACCACAGTGTAACTTAGTTTCCTTTAAAAAAAAAAAAAAAAGAGTAAACCTGGCAGCTATAGAATACACTATGTGCATTTATAATAGCTATTTTATATATGTAGTGTCGACATTTTTAAATTAAATGTTTTACATCCGCACTCGGTGGGGAGTCTTGTCATTAAGGTGTGTGTAATTTAGAGTCCAGTTGGTTTGCCTCTAAGGAGACTGCGCTGGTTTGCTCTGCGCACTTGGCCTTGCAGAAGTCCTCATTCTACCACGTGTTGGCTGACCCTGCACTCATGGGGGGTGTTGTGTATAAGGGCTCTAGAACATAGCAATCATTCACACCAGCATCATCTGTTACTAATCTTCAGAAATAGTTCCGTGCAGCTTTTTCTTGTTTTTGTGGTTGGTCGCATACCTAGGTGGTTTCCTTGACAAGTAGAACTAATGCTGGAGTTGTTTTCCATGTGACTTTTCCTTGTTAACCCCTGGAGGAGGCTTGCTGGGGGAGGACGCATGGTTCCGCTTCTTGGGCGTCTGCCAACTCCAGTGGGCTTAGGTTACAAACATCCGGTGTGCAGTCTGGGGAGGACTAGAGAGGTGGCCTTCAGAGTGGTTCCAAAGTATCTCTGGTTGGAACTTTTTAGGTCAATTATGTATGTTGACTAAATTTACCAATAAACTTGTTTATCCAACAAAGTGTCCAAAAGCAAAGTTGAATGACTGTCCAGAGCTGTAGTGCATCTGGGACCCAGACTGCTTATCAATCGCCCATGATCTGAGCTTTGTTTGGGCTTGTTAGATTTAAAAAGTTATGTGGAACTGTAGAAAGCATGTAGATTAGTCTAAAGACGGTTCTCTTGGTTCTCCAGAGGCCCATCCCTGGCCTGCGTGTAAAGTGGATTCAACAGCGTCAGCACCATTGTGCAGCGCCCCCCTCCCCCAAGTAACCCTGTCGAAGATATTTAAGGGACAGATGGTTTAGAAGGCCCAGAGTTGGAGGGGGGGGCGGGGTTGTTGCTCCATATAGGAATTCATTTTCACACTAAGCCACCATTTTGGTGCAGAAACTGGTGGCCTCTGGTGAAGTGTGTATAGTTTGTGGCGTCATACAGAAAATTCCTTTTAAGTTCAAAGCTGGATGATTTTCCTTGCCCTGTTAAATTAACCTTTTTAAAAGAAATGTCTGGGTTCATTCCGAATAAAAGCTTGTTAAAAGGCAGGCCAGAGTTTCAAGAGCAGCTTTGGTGACTTGATAGAATCTGAGGGTGGAGGCAGGGGCACCTGCTCCTTAGAATAAGAAGTTGGGTCTTGTTAAAACTTGTAGAGGCTTTGTGTTCCTAGACCAGTGTCTTCTCAAGCTCTGTCCAAAGCTAAAGGTGGCATTTACTAGGGGAACACAGACGGCTGGCACCCTGAGCTCTCCCAGTCTTGATCTTAAATCTGTAACACCTTTTCACATGGTCTGAGCGCTTTCTGA